CTGCAGTGGCTTATGCCTGCAGACCTGGGTGTTTGGGAAGCAGAGGTAGAAGTATTGTGGGAATCAGGAGTTCTGAGCAGCCTAGACAATGTAATAGGACCCCATTTCAAAAATAAAGCAGCCACCAAAAGAAGAATCATGTATATCAAGTTCAAGGTGGAAAGGGATGAGTGGTTATTTTAAATTGTTTTTATTGCCCTATATGTTTTTCTCTGCCCCTGTCTCTTCCTCCCCTCTCCTGCGACTCCCACACTCCTAGTTTACTCAGGAGAGCTTCTTGTCTTTTTCTTCTTCCTGTGTAGATCCATGAAGGTCTCTCTTAGGGTCCTCTTTGTTGTCTAGGTTCTCCGGAGTTGTGAACTGTAGGCTGATTTTTCTTTGCTTTATGTCTAAAAGCCACTTATGAGTGAGTACATATTATATTTGTCTTTTGGGTCTGTGTAACATAATTAATAAAAATCCAGGGACAGAAATTGGGGTTCATCCTGAAGGTTAGAAAAGCAAAACAGCCAGCCACTGGCTCTACCTCAGCCTCAGTCCAAAATGGTGGTCCTGTCTCCAGGAATCTCAGAATAAGACTGTGTGTGAGAGCTGCCTCCTCTCTAGGACTGGGATTAGCGGTGTGTGTTACAACTACCTGGTCTGTAAGGTTGATCAGTCAGGCTGTTTTATTCTTTGATCTTCAGGCAAGCTTTATTTATTAAAATACAAATGAAATATCACTACAGGTCTGGGCTACCTCACTCAATATGTTTTTTTTCTAGATCCAACCATTTGCCTGCAAATTTCAAGATGTTATTATTTTTTACTGCTGAGTAGTACTCCATTGTGTAAATGTGCCACATTTTCTGGTTGTTTCCAGGTTCTGGCTATTACAAATAATGCTGCTATGAACATAGTTGAGCACATGTTTTTGTGGTATGATTCAGCATCCTTTGGGTATATACCCAAAAGTGGTATTGCTGAGTCTTTAGGTAGGTTGATTCCTAATTTTCTGAGAAATCACCATACGGATTTCCAAAGCGGCTGTACAAGTTTGCACTCCCACCAGCAATGGAGGAGTGTTCCCTTACCCCACATTCTCTCCAGCATAAGCTGTTCTCAGGTTTTTTTTTTTGATCTTGGCCATTCTGACAGGTATAAGATGGAATCTCAGAGTTGTTTTGATTTGCATTTCTCTGATAGTTAAGGATGTTAAGCATTTCCTTAAGTTTCTTTCAGCCATTTGATATTCATCTGTTGAGTGTTTTCTGTTTAGGTCTGTACCACGAGCAGTATTTTGAGACAAGGTTTCCTCTAGATCTTGTTGGTCTTCAATCTCCTTATTCTCCTGCTTGTGCTTCTTGAAGGCTAGAGGACTATAGGTGTCTTCCATCATGCCTACTAAAAATGTAATTAAAAAATAATACATCTTTTATTTAATTCAGTTGTCCCTTTTTATAATCAACTATTAGTTATTTTCTAGCATTTAAAAAAATGATTCGTGTATGTGTGCGCATGCATCCGTGTGCCACATGTGTGTTGTAATACCAGAAGAGGGCACTGGATCCCTGAGAGCTGGAGTGTTGGTAGTTAGGAGCTACCTTCCATGGATGCTAGTAACTAAACTCAGGTCTTCTCAAAGAGCAGAAGTACTCTTAACCAGTGTATTCTTTTAAAAAACAAATGATACCAGAGAGTGACCCAGGGCTTGGTGTCCATCCGGCTAGTACTTCACCACTGAGCTATGTTCCCAGGTCCTGGAATCTTTTTAACTTGCCATTCATTAATTTATGGTATGATTTCCATTATATTATTCTCTTGAAAATTTCCTCAACTTGCATGCTTGCACATACACACAAACAATCAACTTGTACTAATTTATAGGGGCATAAAACATTTTTTAAAAAGGACCGGTGGGTAAAAGCACTTTCTTTGTAAGCCTGATAACCTGAGTTTAATTCTGGAAACTCACTGTGGAAGTAAGAAAACTGACTCCTGAAGTTCTCCTCTGACCTCCATAGGCTTGCATCTACACTACATAGATACAGGTGTGTGCACACGCGCGCACACACACACACACCTCCACACGCCCCACATAAAAATAATGATGATGATGATGATTTTTAAAAGCTTGAAACAGTTTTCGTTGCCGTCCTCCTTGATCCCTGTCGTACTTCTTTCATGCTACAATCTTGACTGTGCTTTTTTGTTTTGCTTTTTCTTTCTCTAACTGCTTCTGCTTTTTATTTACTTAGTTTCTCTCTCTCCCACCCCACTCCTGGCCTGTATTTTATTGATTGCTTTTCCATCTCCTGACTTCTAATTTAGGCTACTCCCTAAGGCCCCATTCCTAGCACTCTGTTCTTCTTTCTTACCCCTATCTTTGAAAACCCAGTATTCCTCATGTCTTTAGCTAGCATCTCAATGCATATGACTTCTGAAGTGAAGCTCTCAGCTGGCCTGGGTGAATTCTGATTGTTCCCACGGCTTCAAGGACATATCCATTTGAAGGTCTTTTCACTGACATTTAAAACTTGCTGTATTTGAATTTTTCCCCTTCTAGCCTTTATGATCTCTTCCTTTGTTAGCAGTTGACTATGCTTTATGTACAACAAAATCTTGAAACATTGAATTATTTGAGGGATTATGTTGATATTTTGGAATTGCTGGTCTGGTTTGTGTAGTCAGATGTTCCTTTGAACCACTACCTCACAAAAAACGACACAGAGACTTACTATTAATTATAAAACCTCGGCCTATAGCTTAGGCTTGTCCCACTAGCTCTTAGAACATCACCCATTTATATTAATCTGCATTTTGACTTGTGACTTTTTATCTCTCTTTCATTTTGCACTTCCTGTTTCCTTTCCACGTCTTCTGGTATCACTCCCAGATTCTTCTCCTTTTCCTCTCTCTGCCCTGATGTCCCACCTAACCTCTTCCTGCCTATCTGTTGGCCATTCATATATTTTTTTGTTTGTTTGTTTGTTTGTTTTTTGTTTTTGTTTTTTTCGAGACAGAGTTTCTCTGTAGCTTTGGAGCCTGTCCTGGAACTAGTTCTTGTAGACCAGGCTGACCTGGAACTCACAGAGATCTGCCTGCCTCTGCCTCCCAAGTGCTGGGATTAAAGGCGTGTGTGCCACCACCGCCCGGCTCGTTCATATCTTTATTAAACCAGTCAGAAGGTGCCTTGACAAAGACACATCTTCACAGTGTACAAAAAATTATTACACAACAGGTTTGGCTCTGTAGAATCATGAGAACAAAATGTTAAATACTCAGCAATTTGTAAGCTGGTTGTCAAATATGATCATTTTTAAAATTAAGTTATAAATTCACAATAAATTATATAAAAAATAAAAGAGGACAATCTGTGTTGGTGTTCTTCTTCAGGCTACCATCCTTCTTGCTTGTTTTGTTTTTTTTTTTTTTCCTCCTGAGACAGGGTTTCTCTGTGTAGCTTTGGAACCTGTCCTGGAACTCGCCCTGTTGACCAGGTCGGCTTTGAACTCACAGAGATCTGCCTGCCTCTGCCTCCCGAGTGCTGGGATTAAAGGCGTGTGCCACCATCCCCGTTCGCGCCTGCCCCCCTTGTGTTTTAAGACAGGGTTTGTCACTTGGATCTGGGGCTTTCCAATTAGCCTAGCCTGGCTGGGCAAGCAAGGATTTCTGATCTCTGGTATTGTGTTACAAGTGCTTGCTATTGTACCCAGCATCGTACATGAGTGCTGGAGATCAGACTTAGATCTTCATACTCATAAGGCTTTATATACCGATGTCTCTCTAACTCCCAAATTACTTTTTGTTTTGAGACAGGACCTCACAACTTGAACTCATTTCTTCTGAAAATATCCTTTCTTTTGTTGTCTAGAAATTTATTTATGAAAGAATTGTTTTCTTCTTACTTTTATCAGTCTCCTCTTAGTGTCTCTTAGTGGAATTGTTTATAAACTCAGAGTCAGAAGACTTGTGGCAGCAAAGCCATAGCTATGAGACCCGAGTTCTTCCAAACCTCTGCTCTCTGTGTCTTCTGTGGAATCAGAAGAATAAATTTTATTCTGATTCTTAAGAAGAGAAGATGGTGACTGCCCATACAGCCTAATGCTTAATGGGGAAGACTAAGCCAAAAGAACCTAACTGAAGCCAAAGCCTCCACTTTGTGAGCTTGGGCTGTGCTGAATCCTCATGTATAAACTAGGAATGACTAACAATACCCACAGTTATGGGTGATGGATAAGATAAAATATAAAGCATTAAGCATCATGTTCAGCATCAACCACATTTTTCAAAGTGAGATCTGTTTTTTACCATAGTTTTAATTGTATTTATTTCACTTAATACAATTTGAAAATTAAAGATGATTCTCAAATTTATTATTAGAAATATGTGGCAAAAGAATGTTTACATTGGAGTATGTCCAGTAAAATGTTGAGTGTCTCTCTTTTGTTTACTTCTTAGCATCCCAGAAGAATTTTCAGACACTGAGTGGACTCATCTGCCCATTTTTGTCAATCACATTTTTAGTAGTCTGTAGTCATTCTTTTTTTTTTCTTTTTTAATTTACTTATTTTTACATTGTGCACATTGGTGTTTTGCCATGGGTGTTGGGTCCCCCAGAACTGGAATTACAGACAGTTGTGAGCTGCCATGTGGGTGCTGGGAATTGAACCCAGGTACTCTGGAAGAACAATCAGTGTTCTTAACCACTGAGCCATCTCTCCAGCCCTCTATAGTCATTCTTAACATGTTCCCTATGTCCTTGTCATGCTTTCTAGAATATTGTCCAGTGTTGGTTAGTATATGATAGACCTGACTTCAGCTTAGAAAACACATATACTGTGATAAACGTTATTATTCCGTGTGAGTTTTGCTCAGACTTGGTAATTCCTGAGTTTTATTATTGCTTCTTGGTTACTATTTTTTAATTCTCAGATTTATCTAGAACTAGACGTTGTCTGGTGGATGATCAAATGATTCCAGGTCAGGTAATGACTGGCTTGTCTCACTGTTCTTCACAGGTTCGCAAACACATCAATGATCTATATGAAGACCTTCGGGATGGACACAACCTGATCTCCCTGTTGGAGGTCCTCTCAGGCATCAAACTGGTAAGTGCCTTTCTTCTAATGAGTATCCTGCAAGTGAGGCTACTGACAGAAGTCCATACAGATGACCTTTACTGCTCGCTGCCTTGGGTAGCAGGGAGGAGTAGACGAGGTTATTGATACACTTTATTTCTAACTCAGGCATAGAACTTACAAGCAACATCATCTCAGTTTATGTATTATGTATTGTCATGTGAGACCCCTTTCCCCTGATCTCTAAGGATTGAACCTGAGGCCTTACCTGCTAGAAGGCACTGTACAACTAAACTGTATCTCCAGCTTTAGGTCTTATGTCTTGATAAAAATCAGAAATAGTTGTACTTTGTGCTGCCTGACGACTTCTTCATCATTCTTCATTTCTTTCTAGATACTAATATTTCAGGAACACTTATTCGTGTTTAAAGTTTTTTTTTATATAAATTACATTTTTCTTCCTTTAGTTTTTTTTTTTTTTTTTTTTAGTTTGTAGACTCCCCAGTTCTCTTTTATATTTTTTGTTTTTTCTTCTAATTTTCTGTATTCAGCTAAGGATTTAAAATTTAATTTAAAAGCCCAGGTGTTTTAAATCTCGCAGATGCTGAAGTTGGTGCCTGTACGTAGTCTGAGAAAGCAGTACCGATGGGCTGTGTGGGGAATGCTTACAGGAAAGGAAATCCTGACTGGGCCTCCTGGCCTGTCAAAGGATGGTTCTTATATTATACTTGCTTTGTCTGAGGTGTTAAAATAAGACTCCTTGGGATGTTTGTTTCAGATACCTAAGCCTGACGGGAGCAAGTGTTTCTTGTGCTCCAGCGTCTCTCTCTCTAGTGCCATAGACAATGCAATTTTCACTTGGAAACATCCACACTTGGAGATTGGAAGCATCTGCTGGGGAAAGAGACCTGCAGAGGCGCACAGCACAAGCTGTCTGAGTCTCAGCCCACTCAGTGCCTCTGGTGGGTTCTTAGTCACTGTTTGTTGTGTTAAAAGAATAGAGTTTGGCACACTACATTTCACTGCTTATGTGATGTTCAACTCCTTCTAGGATTGGGGCTTGGCTTCCCTGAGCCCTTTGTTTTGGGTTTAATTTAAAAAAAAACAACTTGTAGTGCAATTATTTACATGTATTTTTAGTGGCCAGAATTGCCGTCAACCTTTGTTAGCATAACTAGCATGTATAATTCCTAGTTCTCTTCTGGCCCTCATTCATTAATCTGGTAAGATATTGGAATTCCATTCTTGTCTGGTGAACTTTATTCCACAACACTACTTCAGTCTGTCTCATACAATTAGTTATTTTTCTTTTCTTTTTTTGGTTTTTCGAGACAGGGTTTCCCTGTAGCTTTTGGAGCCTGTCCTGGAACTAGCTGTTGTAGACCAGGCTGGCCTCGAACTCACAAAGATCCTCCTGGCCTCCCGAGTGCTGGGATTAAAGGCATGCCGTGCGCCACCACCGCCCAGCCCACAATTGATTATTATATTGATGAGTTAACAGTGAGTTTCATATTGGAAGGCCATCTTTTTTTTTTTTGTTTGTTTGTTTGTTTGTTTGTTTTGAGACAGGGTTTCTCTGTGTAGCAGTCCTGGTTCTCCTGAAGCTCACTACTGTAGACCAGGTTGGCCTTGAACTCAGAGATCCACCTGCCTCTGTCTCCTGAGTCCTGGGATTAAAGACGTGAGCCACTACTACCTGGCTTGATATGCTTTTCAGAGTTTCTTTTGTCTTCTTTTCCTCCCACAGCAGATTTCACAAATGTAGGTAGGCAGACATGGAGAATTGATGATACTCTCAAAATCAGAAGCATTCAATATATTCTACTCTTATCTTGACTTGATTATTTGTCTCTCTTTTGGAGGTGGGTGGTGTTTTCACTTTTTTAAAAAAGAATCATTTATTCATTTTGTGTGTGTGTGTGTGTGTGTGTGTGTTTCTTTTCTGTTCCTCTGTTGTGTTTTCTTTGGTTGGTGGTCGAAGGAGCCAGCAGGGCTGAAGACCCTTCGTCTTGTGAGCATGCCCTCCTGGCGCCATACAAACAGCGAGGATCAGGAGGAGGAAGATGATGATGATGTAGTAGGTCTTCCTGGGAATGCCAGCATCCCAGCTGGCACTACAGGGCCATCAGAGACGCCAGCATTCTCAAGGTCTTCAAGTAGCTTGGTCACCAATTGCTTTCTCTTTCCACCAGGGAATATGGGTCCCAAAGAAAATAGTTAAAACTAATTGTGTCTATTACTACTATTAGATGATCCTGAAGTGGAAATGTTTTGCTTATCTCGGGATGATTGGCACAAAAGTAATCACAGTACTTGGAAATGTCAAGTCCCTTTGTGACCTGGAGACCTATGGCTTTCTGCTGGCCTTGTTGTGTTGCCTGAATCGATTGCAGAACTGTGGATGTGTAGCTGACAGCATGAAAATCAGTTGCTCACAGTTCCACAGTATAGACTAACTGATATCTCTCTTCACTTTTCCAGCCTCTGGGTTCTCACCAAGCACATGCCAATTGTTTTCAAAATAAAGTGTTGTTTGCAAACTCACTGCATGAGATACTTTGACTTTGGTCAGTAATTCTCTAGTTACTGTAAGAAACAGATTTTAACTTGCATGCTCCTAGCTGTTTACTTTTGGTGGAGGATGTGTTTGTAAGAGAAGTCTTTTCTGCAGATAGGTCCTAAATTATAACCCATAATCTGTTTTCAGAGACAGGGTGACTCCCCCAGTCCCTGAGCTCTTCAAGTCATCTTCATCTCCCTTTCCATTGCCGTAGGATTCTGTTGTAGACTGTGATTCTCCAAGCTGTATTCACAGTTGGTTTGAAATGATTGAACAAAGGTTCTTGCTGAAAAAATGTCCCTAAAGCTTTACAGAAGAAGTTATCCTGTTTTGCAGAGAGACCTTGGCATTTCTGTACATTATCCCATTTGGAGAATGTTGTTTGGAAATGCTGGCGTGTACCAGGAGGAACACTCTCTTCTCTCTCTGTGTGTTGGGCTACTTTTTTGCTGCTATAACATTTCCTTATTATAGATCCCACCAAGAACTACCTTATATTTGGTCAGCCTTTAATTCATGTATCAATTTAATATTTACAAATGAATTGGTGTAATCTAATGATGATGATGCCCCAGTTCTAGCCTTAGAAAAATAAATCAGCGCTGCAAAGTGAGGAGCTGTGGGAGCAGATGCCTGTCTCTAGCACTCACTGGGCGGGCAGCCCTCACTCACCCCCTAGTAGTCATGACTGAGCCCTGGGCAAGGGTGACAGGCACCAGATAAAGATGGCTTTTTTGTTTTTTTGCTTTGTTGTGTGACCCAAGGATTAAGTGGCAGAAACAGTTTTCTTCATGATTCTTAAACAGCCTGTCACCATTAAGATTTCATTGCTCTGTGAATTTCATTTGGGAATGTGTGGCTTTCCTAGAGTGACACTCACCTTCTTGGGATTAATTCCTAGATTTTCTCTCCCAGTTTGGATTTTTCTTTTTCTTTCTCCGCCCCCCCCCCTTTTTGTCATTTTTAGCTTTTCTTGAGCACCTTAAACTCCATTCTCTGTACTTAAAAATCGCCCTCCTAGAGTCAGTCACCCTTCTCTCGCCAGTTTGCAATAAGGTTGGTTCTACTTGTTACTGAGTTATGCAGTTAGGGCTTTCTGACTTTTCTCTGCAGTGCAGGTAACTGTGCTTTTAGGAGCCATAGAGCTACACTCTGTGTTCCTGTTAACCTCACAGCAAGCTCTGCTACACACAGGCGCAGAGGAGCCTGTGGAGGAGGCAACACCGGTGCAGTGACAGAGCTCAGATTAGCTGTGGTTTGTGTGATGCAAGACGTTTTGTCAGCTGCTGAGTGTCTGATCCATACATGCAGGCCCTGCTCTCAAAGGTGCTTCATCTAATGCTCCCACGCCTGGCTTCAGCCCTGAGGAATTCTTGTGTGGTCTTTTAGTCCTTGAAATGAAAGAGGAAAGGCTGTGTAGAGGTAAATTGGCATAGCTAAAATTAGCATCCCTGTTTTTCCTTGCAGCCTCGGGAGAAGGGCAGGATGCGTTTCCACAGGCTGCAGAATGTGCAGATTGCCCTGGACTTCTTAAAGCAGCGGCAGGTAAGAACATCCAATGGTATCCGGTTCTGACTCTTTGTCCTTACACAGAACTTGTGCTTTTTGAGAGGATCCATGTTCATGAACAAAGGTGAAACTAAAAAACCCATGGAGGTTCAAAATGAAGATTAAAAAAACCTGTGAAGAAAGTGGTAGGACAAGGGAAGTCCAGGGTAGTTTGTCAGACCTATCAATCTGAGGAAAAGGTCTGACTCTCATGCAGTAATGGCTTTTTTTAAATTTATTTATTATGTATACAATATTCTGTCTACATGTATGCCTGCAGACCAGAAGAGGGCACCAGACCTCATTACAGATGGTTGTGAGCCACCATGTGGTTGCTGGGAGTTGAACTCAGGACCTTTGGAAGAGCAGGCAATGCTCTTAACCATTGAGCCATCTCTCCAGCCCCAGTAATGGCTTTTGTGGTTCTGGGTATTGAACCCAAGGCCATGTGCTCAATAAGCAAGAAAGGACTCTATCACTGAACCAAATCCCCAGTAGTGACTTAAGGGAATGGCTGGCTATTTATTTGTGCCTGCCAGCCTGCCTGCCTCCCTCTCTCCCTCCCTCTCTCCCTCCCTCCCTCCCTCGTTCCTTTCCTTCCTTCCTTTTCTTCTTTCTTTCTGAAAGAGTCTCACTATGTAGCTCAAACTGGTCTGAAACTTACTATATAGACCAGGCTAGCCTCAAATTTACAGAGATCTGCTTACCTCTGCCTCCAGAGTGCTGAGACTAAAGGTATATACCACTACATCTAGCTTATTTATTATTTTGAGGCAAGGTCTAGCCTTATAGTTCACTCTGGTCTCAAACTCTAGACGTTTCTCTATCAGCCTCCCAAGTACTACGGTCATCGAAATGTACTACCAAGTCTGGCCAAGAAAAGGTTTTTAATAGAGTGGAAATATTTGAAACATATTAAACCTAACTATCAAAGGGAAAGAGACATTGTTTCCTTCCTAGATAAGGAAGACAGCAAGAGGTTCAGACAGGGAGGAGAGGCCAGTGAAAGGAAACGACTGAAAATTATCAGGAGAATTAGAGTCACAGAGCTGTGTGTGATGGTCCATGTCTATAATCCAGCAGTTGGAAGGCTGAGGCAGGAGGATCATCATGAGTTTGAGCCCAGGCTGGGCTGCATTGCAAGACCCTAACTCAAAACAAAATGACCAAGGACCGAGGGGTGGGGGGTGGTATAAAAAGATAGAAGTTTCCTAAAATGTTTATTCTAGAAAATATCATAGAGATCCAAGAATCCAGTTTCTTTGAGTTATTTGCATTAAAGAGAATGAGATCTGGCTATCTGAAGTGACCTGGTCCAGATCCCAGAAGTTAGAGCAGAGCTAGGACTTGAACTGGACTGCAGTCTCCTGACATGTGGGCCTGTGTTCCTCCTCCTGTCAGTGCTGGTCTCCACGCCTCTGTCTTCTCAGGCCCAAGGGATAAGAAGCAGAGCACAGTTGCTCTAGTTATTGCCCTAGCTGGCCTGGAACTCTCTATGTAGACCAAACCTACCTTGAACTCATGGGTGCTCTACCTGCCCTTGCCTCCTGAGTGCTGGGAATAAAAGCATGTACCACCAATCCTTGCTGGTGAAGTTTTTGAAAGGGAAAAAGACTTGCCCCTCATTAGGGAGAAAGGATAGGGGGTGAAGATAATGCTGTCTTGTGGTGGGGAAGAAGGTGGATGAGGCAGGGAGGGTCAGAGGGTCCACCTCCCTGGTGTGAGCTCTATGGAAAAAAAAATTGGCATATCTAGGATTGACTAACAACAGTAAGTCAACATGACATTAATTGGCTTGCATTTTTTTAGTCTAATTAACTTGGGAGAATGTTCTTAGTGCTTCTACAATAATGTATGAATGTAACATTTATTACTGTATTGTTAATTCCCCATATGCTCCAATGTACTGCAGGTTCTCTTAGGCTAGGGAACATGTTCTTAACATTTTTAGCTTCAGTACTCATCAAATCGAGTGGCCTATAATTGATGAAGATCTATCTATATGTTTACATAATTTAATAATGAATGGTAGGAGAAATGGAGGCTATTGGAATATTTCGGAGGAAGCCACATTGGAATGTCTGTTTGTTGAGTTAGAAAAACCTCAGAGATGTCTTTACAGACAAGCTAAAATAAGAATTGATAAGCTGGAAGTGCAAATAGGGATAGAGAATAGAATTGATTACAATAATAGAAGGAAAATGTGGGCAAATGAGAGCCATAATAGACTCAGAAGGTCAGGAAATCACTAGAACAGTTTCTTGTAATGGGGAGCCCAAGCTGTAGTTATGCAGGAGACCAAAGTGTCTTCAGAATTGAGAAGTCAAGCAAACTGCAGATAGGGCAACACTTGAGTCATCAATGTGTGTGTTAAGATTGTAAGAAGGGTGACAGATGGTAAGGAAGGAAAAGAAAATAAAAGTCAAGTACTAAGGTCATTGAGGAAGTTATTAGAGATATTCTGGCCAAGGGAGGTGGCATCCCAAGGGTAGAGGAAGAACTGTGCCATATGGACACAATGGTACTGTCCTTATGGCAGCTCTCGGTTGTTAGTGACTAGGGAAAGAAGAGCAGGTTCTCCCATCTCCACACCACCCCGGAGTTAGAACCTAAGTACAGAAAAGGGAAGACCTTTTCCAGATGAACTTTAGTGTAACCTCTGAGTGGAGATCACAGGGGTCCTTTACAGATAGATTTCAGTTCTGTAGACAAGACAGAGACCTCCCTTTCCAGCTGTCACAAGTAGCAAGAACTCTGTGAGAGAATGGCAGAAAAGACCAGTGGAGTTGAAGTAGATGAGTGACTTGCTCAGCACACTCTTTTTAAAACTTTACACCTTCATTAAGAATCCTCATCTCAGCTAGAGAGATGACTCAGTGGTTAAGATCACTTGTTGCTCTTTCAGAAGACCTGTGTTCCTATCTCTAGCACCCTTGTGGCCCCTTATTCCATCTGTATTTCCAATTCCAAAAGATGTGGTGCCCTCTTCTGGCCTCCTTGGACATCAGGCATACATATAGGTGAAACACTCAGAAAATAAAAATAAATATCTTAAAACAAAACAAAGCAACCAAGAAGAGCAAGGGTGGTGGAACACACCTTTAATCCCAGCACTTCAAAACTCAGAAGGCAGAGGCAGGTAGATCTCTGTTCAAGGCCAGTCTGCTCTACATAACTGATCAGAACAGCCGTGAGTACAAAGAGAGACCCTGTTTCAAAGAACCAGCAAAATTTAGACCTCAGTTTCCTGCATAGCAGGACAGTCAATCCTCAAAGGGAAGGACTATCTACTTGTCTATGCACATTATGTTCTTGGAAAGGGTTTAGACACTATGGTCTTGGAGTGAGTTTTAGGAGTAAAGCTGAGGTGGGCATTATATCAGGAAGAGAGATCTATGACAGAGAGAAGGAAATGGAGAGAGAAGCAGGAGTAATGAGGGAGAAGAGGCATCTCTTTTAACCCCCAAAGAAACGAACAAGTCAGGATTCTGACTATTGACAAGACTTGCAATGCTGTGTGCTTTGCTGGTGAGAGTACAGAATAGTTCAGCTACCCTGCAAAATCATTTGACAGTTTGTTACAAAGCTATGTATATCTAGCTATGTATGATCTAGCAATCTCCAAGGAGTCTACCCTAGAGAAATGAAAGCATACATCCACACAACAATCTGAACAAGAATATTGAAGCTTTACTCAGAAATTCCAAAAACTGGAAATAATCCATGAACCCTTCAGTGGATGAATGGGCAATCTCAGGGCAAGACAACTGTACAATAGAATACTCCTTGGCAATTACAGGGAACAAGTCATTCATGTAGCAGCTTGGAAGGGAGTCTCAAGAACATTATGCTCTTTTTTTTAAGATTTTTATTTATTTATTATGTATACAATATTCTGTCTGTGTATATGCCTGCAGGCCAGAAGAGGGTACCAGACCTCCCTACAGATGGTTGTGAGCCACCATGTGGTTGCTGGGAATTGAACTCAGGACCTTTGGAAGAGCAGGCAATGCTCTTAACCACTGAGCCATCTCTCCAGCCCCCGAACATTATGCTCTTATAGGGGGTGGGAGGAACTACCTAGTACCAAAGGTTACATGCCATTTATATGACGTTCTAGAAAAAACAAAATAAGCCAGTGGTGATTGGGACTTCAGAATCAGGCAGGGTTTCACTGTTTGAAAGGGGCGTCATGGAGCCTGTTTTGGAAGTTGAGAGTTGTTTTATGTGGTGCTAGAAAGTATTTGAATTCATAGACTCTTCAGCCAAATATTAATTTAACTGTATATTGAGTGAAAATGAGGACAAATCAAACCAGAAAGAAACTTCTTGGGCTCTGAGACTGGCTTAACTTTCTTTTTCAGGTGAAGCTAGTGAACATCCGCAACGACGACATCACGGATGGCAACCCCAAACTAACCCTGGGGCTGATCTGGACCATTATTTTGCATTTCCAGGTAAGGTCTCGGGTTCTTGTTACTCAGTTTGTTCATGGCCTAGAAACCTGTGCTGCTGCCTTTTGCAGAAAGAATTTGCGTCACTTCTCGGTGTTTGGTTAACAACAATGGGTAGCAATTGGAAAGGAGAATTAAAATGAGCCTGGAAACACGATGCTGCATCCTTTGCTCCCAGTGTCATCGTTTTTGGAATTTTTCTCTTGTGATTTGGTCTTGTCCCTAGAAGTCTGGAATTAGAAGTCTGCTTTCTTAGTAATGTCAAACCTGGGCTCATTAGGGTCTCAGCATGAGGGGTAGGGCAATGTTGGGTCTGATACGTTAGGGGATGCGTGAAGAGTTGTTACCCACTCTGACAAGAGTCTCCTCACCTGACCTTTGAATACTGCTGGTTAACCATGGCCCTTTAGTTGCTGTCTGTGTGTGCTGCGGGGAACACAGCCTGTAGGAGCTTTCGTAGTGACAACAGTGGCATCCTGAAATATCTACAGCTCTGAAGGCCTTCCTGGTGCCATTTCTTTCAAAGTTGGCAGAAATTCTTTTAAAGTCTGGATTGTTGTTAGAAAAGAACAGCACTCTTAGGAAAAAGAGTGTTCTTTTAAAATCATTTTTAGTCTGGCCTAACAAAACTGTTTCTCAGAACTCTCGATATCCACTTGTTGCATGTAGGATGATTGGCTGAGGGGAGCATCTTTTAGTAGGTGTGAAGAGGCACAGGGGTGAGGCCAGAGTGACACCCTACTTGGAGAGATTGCACCACCTTCTGGTTGAATTAGAGCAGCAGTCTCAGAATTCCTTAGACCTTGACAAAATTCTCAGATTGCAGGCTTGTTGCTTAGGACTTTGGTTTAGTGCCAGTGCTGGCATTCTGCAGCATGAGTAAGGTTTGGAATGTGTAGAATTAGTGTGTATTTTTGTGGATGTCTACACCCAAGGTTTGAGTGTAGGAATAACCGGGATCCTGAGCTGGGTGAGTGTACCATTCAGAGTAGAAATAAAAATTTTGTTGAGCCTTTACATAGGACTGCAGTTACCTCCTTGAGACTCATATGAACAGAGAGGGTTTTTTTTTGTGGGAGTAGGGTTGTTTGCTGTTCGTTTTTTAAAAAAATATTTATTTTTTATATATACAATATTCTGTCTGTGTGTATGCCTTCGGGTCAGAAGAAGGCACCAGACCTCATTTCAGATGGTTGTGAGCCATCATGTGGTTGCCGGGAATTGAACTTAGGACCTTTGGAAGAACAGGCAATGCCCTTAACCACTGAGCTATCTCTACAGCCCTGCTGTTCATTTTTTGACATTAAGTACCAGCATTGTGAGCACTTAACACTGTGCTCACAGATATGATACCTGATATGTCTCTGTTTTCCTCGACAGCAACTAATTCTCCTTTAAAGGAGAAAACTTAGAGGCCAAAGAATGAAAAACTGTGTCTCTCAGTTGAAGCTGTGGTGCTAGGGGAGAGGAGCACAATGGAGTGGTTGCTTTCCCAAGACCCTCACCAGGGAGCTGTCTTCTCTCCATTATAACTCTTTCCAGTGCTCAGGGTGTGGCTGGGCAATAGGCTGCTTGTCATGCAGGCAGGAGGCCTTGTGCACCATACCTAATACAACAAACACATTTTCTTTAATTGAAAAATTTGTTTATTTTATGGATATGGGAATTTTGTCTGCATATGTATCTGTAGAGTTATCAGATGGTTGTGAGCCACCATGTACATGCTGAGAATTCAACCCAGCTCGCCTACAAGAGCAGCCAGTGCTCTCAGTAGTTGAGCTGTCTCTCCAGCTCCACAAACACATTTTTTGTTATAAGAAATTCACTCATTTGTGGAAATAGAGAAAATGTAATAAAGAATTAACACATAACCCACATCTAGTTCAAGAATTATTTACTCATAATCATGATCTCCTTTATAGCCTAATTCACTCCTCAAGTCTCAGCTTTTATCTGTACATAGTTTGGTGTGTATCTCTGAAAGATCAGACCTTTTCGTTTAAGCAAGTCATAAAAAGTTCATACCTTAGAATTTAATACTTCATAAAATTATCACATATCTGATTAATGTTATGATGTGCTCAGTGATCTCACTTTTAAAAAAAAAAGTTTGGTTTGACTCAGAATCCAAAATAGGTCTACATATATATTGTATCAAATCCATCTTTTCCCATGTACAATTTGCTGAAGAATTTAGGACTTTTATAGAGTTTATTAAGATACTGATAGCATTCCTGGGGTATCTTCTAACAATGTCCTCTGTTCCTGTGTTGCCTGTAAACTATTAGTGTGGATCTAAACTTGAGACTCAATGGCACAGCTTTAGAACATCTTCCCTTCTCCCTCGCTTCCCCCTCCCTTCTGAGACCGGATTTCTCTTTGTAGCTTTGGCTGACTCTCCTGGAACTCTCTATGCAGACCAGGCTGATCTCTCTGCCTCTGTCTCCTGAGTGCTAGGATTAAAGGAGTACACCACTATGCCTGGTACATTGGAATTCCACTCCCACCCCTCAGCCCCCCACCACCAACAGGGTTTCTGTCTGTAGCCCTGGCTGCCCTAGAACTTTCTATGTAGACCAAGCTGGCCTCGTACCAGTGATCCGTCTGTCTCTGCCTCTAAAGTGCACCACCACCTCCTGGCATATGTCAACTTTTCACTGCTCTTTAGTATTTTGTTATATTACATACTATAGATGTCATTTTCTTTTCTTCAGAAGTAGATGGCATTTGGGCTCCCCCCCCCCCCCGTTTGGATGTGAGATTATTATAAACAGTGATGTAATTTTTTTTTACATTTTATTTTTGTATGCATGTATATGCACTCATACTCATGTCATAGTGTGCATATGGAGTTCAGACTGCAACTTTCAGGAGTTCTCCTTCTATCTTGTGGGTTCCATGACTGAACTCAGGCCATCTGGCTTGGCAGTATGCACCTTTAACCACTGAGTTGTCTTACTATCCCAGCATGAATATTTTTATAATAGTCTTTGTGTAGATAATGCTCTCATTTCTTATCATGGGTATCACAGTACTGGTGTTTGGGTTCATGCAGGTTCGTGAAATGAATACTCAATGACACCTCAAGAATTAACTTAACCTTTGTGGCCACAGGGGTGCCCAGTCTCGGTGGGCTGAAGCACTTTCCCTTAGTTCATGGTGTTTTTATTTTTCTCTATATTTACACTTTAGCCAGTAGATTTCCATATCTCAAAACAACCTGAATGAAGCTTCCAAAAATATAAAGCCAAGTGTAAATACCTGATTCATGAGGTACCACAGTTTTCCCGGATGCTCCTAACCAAGTTTTGCATAGACTTTGTATTCTTGGGAAACTCTCAGACAAGATTCATATAGAGCAACAAAAGCTATTTGTAACACAAAGGATGAATTAGGGCTGGGTGCTAACTGGGGAGCTAGGCCAGGTATGGTCCAGAGAGGGTTATGACTACTGGGGATGAGGGTGGGTGGGTGGGGTTGCTTGCTGTCTCTCTGGCTCCAAGCCAACAGGACACTCTGCCACAATTTTTCTCTTTTAAAAAATTTTTATTGCTAGCTGGGCTGTGGTGGCGCACACCTTTAGTCCCAGCACTCAGAAGGCAGAGGCACGTAGATCTCTGTGAGTTCGAGACCAGCCTGTTCTACATAGTTTCAGGATAGGCTCCAAAGCTATACAGAGAAACCCTGTCTCGTGTGGGGGGGGGGACTTATTGTCTTTTTTCATATAATATTTCTTGATTGTATTATTTTGTCTCCCCAACTTCTCCCAGATTTCCCCTACACAACTTCATGTTCTTTCTCTCTCAGTGGAAAGAAAAAACAAATGAAAAAGACAAAACAACCACCACCCTCACATACACAAAAAAGTAGATTCCATTTTGTGCTGACCAGCTGCTCCCCAGCATGGGACCTGCGCCAGAGTGTGGTTGGTATATATGCCCAGAAAACTGATTTTTCCTCTCTCGCTGGCATAACTGCAAATAACTTATTTTGGTTAAGGGTGGGACTTTCTGTTCGCTTCCCCTTCTCTGTACTAGGGTTTTGTCTGGCTTGAGCTTTGTGGATTCATTTTTGCTTGTATATATACTTATTAGATTCTCATCAAGATTACAGTATATGCATATATATTGTAATATCTTGTTACTATATGTAATTATATGTAGAAACACACAAAGTAGCGCTGTTAGATGTTAGGAGGTCCAAAATTGTCATTTTATCCACCCTTTGCCATTGGTGTTGATGAAGGAGAATACTGATGTTTGTGTACATGTAGATGAGGTGGTGGTTTTTGTTGAAATAGAGGCTAGGTCCAGACTAAAACTTGCTAGTACTGATGAGATTAGTAGCATCATTATCTTTATAGGGAGACTTACAGTTTCTAAAATACTTTTGACACATTTTAAAAATATGTGTTAAGTGGTTGGAGTTCTTTCATTTCAAGTTGTGTTTTTAGTTATGAAAATTCTGAGAGCTCAGAAGCATATGCGATCCTTATGTGTAGTCACTTTACATCGAGACAGAGGCTAATATTTTGTTCTTTATACTTCAGAGACTTTTTCCCTCTTCTTTTTCTTTAAAGAAACAAAACCTTCAGATACAGCCAATTTTCTTGTTCCTTCTGCCCATGGTAAATACTCTTCTGAAGCTGACATATATCATTCCTTAAATGCTTTTGTGTCTTTATAGCAGATTTGGGGTCATAAACAATATGTGCTAATATTTGTATGTTTTATATTTTCAATGTGCCCGTTACAGCCTTGTATATGTAAGGCCCATGCTCTATTACCAAGCTAAATACCCAGCCCTAAATTTTGTGGGGTTTGTCAGTGATGGTGAAGGGTGGCCTGGCTTGTTCATCTGAACTGTACCAGAGTGTGGCATGAGTAGTACTCCCCACAGCTGTGCCGCACGTTCATAGATTATTACTTAATTATATAAACAAAGTGCTCATTGTTGCAGTGAGCATCCATCTGTGTGAGGCCTTCCATTAATGGAAGGAGTCT